AGAAGATCTGGGAGAAAAAAGGCCAACAGGGAAAGGGGGGAAAGATCTAAGGAAGGAAAAGGGAGAAGCTCTCAGGGGGGGGAAAGGCCTGAGGGGGGAAAGGGTGGGAAGGATCTCAACAGGGAAAGGGGGGAAACAATCTTAGGAAGGAAAAGGGAGAAGATCTGGAAAGGCCTTAAAGGGAAGGGGGGAAAGGATCTCAACAGGGAAAGGGGGCAAAGGATCTTAAGGAGGAATAGGAAGAAGATCTCAGCGGGGGGAAAGGCCGTAGGGGGGAAAGGGGGGAAAGGATCTCAACAGGGAAAGGGGGGGAAAGATCTCAGTGAGGAAAGGGAGAAGGTCCCAGGCAGGGAAAAGGCCTTAGGGGGGAAAGGGGGAAAGGATCTCAACAGGGAAAGGGGGCAAAGGTCTTAGGGAGGAAAAGGGAGAAGATCTGAAAAGGCCTTAGGGGGAAAAGGGGGAAAGGAGCTCAACAGGGAAAGGTGGGAGAAGATCCTAGGGAGGAAAAGGGAGAAGATCTCGGGGGGAAAGGGGGAAAGGATCTCAACCAAGGGAAAAGATCTTGGGGAGGACAAGGGAGAAGATCTCAGGGGGGGAAAGGCCTTAGGGGGGAAAGGGGGGAAAGGATCTCAGGAGGGAGGAAGGGAGGAAAAGGGAGAAGATCTTGGGGGGGGGAAAACGCCTTAGGGGGGAAAGGGCGGGAAAGGATCTCAACAAGGAAAGGGGGGAAAAGATCTTAGGAAGGAAAAGGGGGAAGATCGCGGGGGGGAAAAAAGGCCTTAGGGGGGAAAGGAGGGAAAGGATCTCAACAGGGAGAGGGGGGAAAACATCGTAGGGAGGAAAAGGGAAAAACTCAGAGGGAGAAAGGGCCTTAGGGGGGAAAGGGGGAATGGATCTCAACAGGGAAAAATGGCAAAAGATCTTAGGGAGGAAAAGGGAGAAGATCTCAGGGGGGGAAAGGCCTTAGGGGGGAAAGGGGGGAAAGGATCTGAGCAGGGAAAGGGGGGGAAAGATCTTAGGGAGGAAAGGGAGAAGATCTGGGGGCAAAGGCCTTAGGGGGGAAAGGGGAGAAATGATCTCAACAGGGAAAGGGGTGGAAAAGATCTTAGGGAGGAAAGGGAGAAGATCTGGGGGAAAAAAGGCCAACAGGGACAGGGGGGAAAGATCTAAGGAAGGAGAAGCTCTCAAGGGGGGAAAGGCCTCAGGGGGAAAGGGTGGGAAGGATCTCAACAGGGAAAGGGGGGAAACAACTTAGGAAGGAAAGGGGGGGGGGAAGATCTGAGGGAGGAAAGGGAGAAGATCTGGGAGAAAAGGACTTAGGGGGGAAAGCCCAACAGGGAAAGGGGGCAAAGGATCTTAGGGAGGAAAAGGGAGAAGATCTTGGGGGGGAAAACGCATTAGGGGGGAAAGGGGGGAAAGGATCTCAACAGGGAAAGGGTGGGAAAGATCTTAATAAGGAAAGGGGGGGGGAAGATCTTAGGGAGGAAAGGGAGACGATCTGGGAGAAAAGGACTTAGGGGGGGAAAGCCTAACAGGGATTGGGGGGAAAAGATCTTCGGAAGGAAAAGGGAGAAGCTCTCAGGGGGGGGAAATGCCTTCGGGGGGAAAGGGGGAAAAGGATCTCAGCAGGGAAAGGGGGGGGGGAAAGATCTTAGGGAGGAAAGGGAGAAGATCTGGGGACAAAGGCCTTAGAGGGGAAAGGGGAGAAATGATCTCAACAGGGAAGGGGTGGAAAAGATCTTAGGGAGGAAAGGGAGAAGATCTGGTAAAAAAAAGGCCAACAGGGAAAGGGGGGAAAGATCTAAGGAAGGAAAAGGGAGAAGCTCTCAGGGGGGAAAGGCCTTAGGCGGGAAAGGGTGGGAAGGATCTCAACAGGGAAAGGGGGGAAACAATCTTAGGCAGGAAAAGGGAAAAGATCTGGAAAGGCCTTAAAGGGAAGAAGGGAAAGGATCTCAACGGGGAAAGGGGGCAAAGGATCTTAAGGAGGAATAGGGAGAAGATCTCAGCGGGGGGAAAGGCCGTAGGGGGGAAAGGGGGGAAAGGATCTCAACAGGGAAAGGGGGGGAAAGATCTCAGTGAGGAAAGGGAGAAGGTCCCAGGCAGGGAAAAGGCCTTAGGGGGGAAAGGGGGAAAGGATCTCAACAGGGAAAGGGGGCAAAGGATCTTAGGGAGGAAAAGGGAGAAGATCTGAAAAGGCCTTAGGGGAAAAGGGGGAAAGGAGCTCAACAGGGAAAGGTGGGAGAGGATCCTAGGGAGGAAAAGGGAGAAGATCTTGGGGGGAAAGGGGGAAAGGATCTCAACCAAGGGAAAAGATCTTGGGGAGGACAAGGGAGAAGATCTCAGGGGGGGAAAGGCCTTAGGGGGGAAAGAGGGGAAAGGACCTCAACAGGGAAAGGGGGCAAAGGATCTTAGGGAGGAAAAGGGAGAAGATCTTGGGGGGGAAAACGCCTTAGGGGGGAAAGGGCGGGAAAGGATCTCAACAAGGAAAGGGGGGAAAAGATCTTAGGAAGGAAAAGGGGGAAGATCGCGGGGGGAAAAAGGCCTTAGGGGGGAAAGGAGGGAAAGGATCTCAACAGGGAGAGGGGGGAAAACATCGTAGGGAGGAAAAGGGAAAAACTCAGAGGGAGAAAGGGCCTTAGGGGGGAAAGGGGGAATGGATCTCAACAGGGAAAGGTGGCAAAAGATCTTAGGGAGGAAAAGGGAGAAGATCTCAGCGGGGGAAAGGCCTTAGGGGGGAAAGGGGGAAAGGATCTGAGCCTGAGCAGGGAAAGGGGGGGAAAGATCTTAGGGAGGAAAGGGAGAAGATCTGGGGGCAAAGGCCGTAGGGGGGAAAGGGGAGAAATGATCTCAACAGGGAAAGGGGTGGAAAAGATCTTAGGGAGGAAAGGGAGAAGATCTGGGGGAAAAAAGGCCAACAGGGAAAGGGGGGAAAGATCTAAGGAAGGAAAAGGGAGAAGCTCTCAGGGGGGGAAAGGCCTGAGGGGGGAAAGGGTGGGAAGGATCTCAACAGGGAAAGGGGGGAAACAATCTTAGGAAGGAAAAGGGAGAAGATCTGGAAAGGCCTTAAAGGGAAGGGGGGAAAGGATCTCAACAGGGAAAGGGGCAAAGGATCTTAAGGAGGAATAGGGAGAAGATCTCAGCGGGGGGAAAGGCCGTAGGGGGGAAAGGGGGGAAAGGATCTCAACAGGGAAAGGGGGGGAAAGATCTCAGGGAGGAAAGGAAAAAGATCCCAGGGAGGAAAAGGCCGTAGGGGGGAAAGTGGGAAAGGGAGAAAAAGGGAGAAGATCTCAGGGGGGAAAAGGCCTTAGGGGGGAAAGGGGGGAAAGGATCTCAACAGGGAGAGGGGGGAAAACATCTTAGGGAGAAAAGGGGAACAAAAACAGAGGGAGAAAAGGCCTTAGGGCGGAAAGGGGGAATGGATCTCAACAAAGAAAGGGGGGCAAAAATCTCAGAGGGGAAGGGGGCAAGGGGACAATTCCAAAGGGACGCAAATAAGAAAGCAGGCCTGTAATGTCGGCGGCCTGAGCCGGAGGCGTTAAAATACAAACACAATGAAAACAAAATGAACAATCCTTGAGTTGTTTGCATGTTTTGTGCTCCAGGGTCCGAAAATGAAAAATGAAAATAAAATGACAATAGCCTTGACACATCAAAATAAAATGAAAGCCCGAATGAACATAAATTGCACGCCCAAGTGAAAGTTTAATGTAACCATAATTGCGTTACTTGCCCTCAGCCTGTAGCCCTAAACATCTCATAATGGTAAGCGAGCATGTGCACATCAGGTCAGACGTGGGCCAGAACGCCTCCAAACAGGATCTCCTGCCCTTTGCGTACATGGCAAACTCCCGGTAGAGCCAAATCAACTAAAGGAAACAGGAGGTCATGTCTCCCACTTGAACCTTCAATTACCCGTGTCCTATCGAAATGTCGACGGCACCAAAGCACATTTTCCCGCATTGCAATCTGCAATACCTGCAAGCATCAGATTAACTAGATTTAAAGGAACCGGACTCGGCTGTGGAACACGGCCAGCTGCAAAAACAGCCTGAAATGTGAAAGGAAGACTCACACAAAAGCGACTGAAAATCCGGGGCCCCGCAGCTTCACCGTGCAGAGTCACGGGCTCAGAAATGCATAGCACATTAGGCTTGGTGGCACCCACACGCTTAGAGCTACGTGTTTCCCCACGAGGACATGTTGATGCGTGAAACTTTGGTGAGTTCCCCCATGAACCTCCCAAGACCATAGACTACTGGATTTGTGCACGCCTCACATCCTTCTCCAAAACCAAGTTCCAATGAGTGCCTGACTGAGCACTGACATCCTTTGTGAAAGAAAATCCGTCTTGGAGGCTGCCCTCGGGCTCATGGAATATAGATCCCTTTTCTGGAAGGAAATCTCACCCAAAGGGAAATTGGTTGCAGTCTTGCGTTTATTGAAACGCTCCACGAAATAGCCCGAGCACGCTCTTGCTACAACCATCTGAACAGAAACATACAGAATGGTCTACTACTTGGCCACTTGAGTTGGAACCTCATCCGCTCCAAACAAAGATTGGCTGGTTGACGCCTCTCAAAACTATACGTTTCTTGCCACTGGGTTGAAAGGTCAAAGGATCCTCTGCACGAACCCAGCAAACACAAAGTTCCGAACGTTTTTTGGTTTCTGCTTCCTGTGTGCAGTTGTCTGGAGCAAAGCTGCCGGCACAAAAACATTCATTGAGCCGCAGATCGGCAGCTTGAATAACTCTGTTTCTAGGATTGGAACACCCCATGTCGATTCTATCGCAGGATTTCGTGCCAGACGAGCTCATGGGACTACCGCCGTCCCATGACCCGCCCATTTCGCCACGGAAAGCGGCGGATTCTACGCCAGAGCTCCAGAAAGCCTGGCAAGGCTTCCTCGCTGAACGTCTGAGTCTATGGATCCATTGCCCTTGGATAGATTCGTGTATGACCCTGTCAGTTGATGGCCACGAGCACTCAACAGGAGACAGATCCCATGGAGAGTCCTTGTGGAGATTCGGGCCGTGAGCCGAACACCACTCTCTGGAGCCTGTTGTCGATTCCCAGAGACTCACTCAGGCCTGGCAGCAAGCGGGCGCAGCTGTCGTCAAACGCAAAAAGCTGCGGACTCTCAATTAGCTTAAAATAGTTTTAGAAGGGGTGCTTAGGGTTCTGGGAGCATTTCTGAGGATAGGTGGTTATAAATTATCCCTCACACAATTTGAACAGCGAGGCAAACACCACCTCGCTGAAATGACTGGCCCATGGGTTTGGTTTTTGCTCAACGCCTCATGGATAAAACCATGGGGATTCTACCAAAATACGCCCGGACAGTATCCCCAACAGCGTGGCCCAGAATTCTTCTCCGTTCTGAACAGGATGCGCAAAGAAGTGCAGTAACCATCCTCCAGGGTTTTCTCAAAAAGAGTGTCAAAAGGCGAACCCGGATTATGAAATGCCGGACCAAGAATCATGATCCTGCGCTTGCAATCAGATTCCATCCACGTTAATCTGGCGCCAGGCCTCCCATAGCTGTTCAGGCGGCACAACTTGGAGGTTTCATGTGGAGATCCTCAGCCCCCTTTGCCCCAGCTACTTCGACCCTGTGGCCACCATCAACTGATTCAGTTTTCGGATTGGCCTAAGCTCCAGAGATTCCAAGTTGGGCATCCCCCCCAAGCTCATTCTCTCTTCGAAAATCCTTGAGAGGGTTGAATAGTCCATGGATCCGGCGGCTTGGCCGAGTAGAAACCTGCCGAGTAGACCCCCATGTCGCCACTCAAAAAAAAGGACACGCTGCAGCCCGTGTTGACCCCAGAGCGCCGCCCAGTTACTAATCAGGGGAGAGTGGGGGGGGTCCTCCTCAGGAGTTTTCCCTGCTGGTTTGCAATGCTGTATTCATCGGCTGTCAAAGCTAGACTCCAATGCCTGTGATAAGGTGGGCATTCGAAACCCCAGCGTTTCTGGGTTCTTGTTGGAGAGGTACTTGCCGCCCCCGTTGTCCTGGCAAAAATCGATGCTAGAAACTGATTAGAACCTCGAAACAGTAAAATCGCAGGGTTCTATGTTTGGGCTGAGGGTATCGATTGGAATAGCTGCTTGGTTCTTGCGTCCAGCCTCACACTATTCTCAACCCGAAAGGACGGCTATGGCCACCTCCCACGGTTTCTTTTTGGCCCGCCTTGGCCTTCGCTTTGGCCTCACTTTGGCCGCGCTGCGAGACAGACAGACCTTCTCCAAGAACCGATTCAAAGCTTTTGGGTGGCAAAGCCTGGTGAAACTAGGCTTTCCACGGGGCAGGTTCCTGAGGCAAGTGAGCCTTTGTTGAGGCCTTGACGCCTGGATGGAAAAATTGAAACACATCGAAGGTTGGGCAGGGGTACCAAAGACACATGCTATCTGCAGAACCCACTGGTGCACACCATGGAAAGGACGGGCGTGCGACATGAGTCCTATCGAAGATCCCTCCAAATTGGTCTGTCTCACGGGCTCGGCCCCTGTCTGGCTCAAAAAGGACAACTGGGCAAAACTACCTCTCACCCATGTGGCTGAAGAGGTGCATGCCAAGGAGCACATGGATTGGGAGTTTGAATGTTCCTCACAATATCTGACATCTAAAAACTATGGGCGTGGAAGATGGGAAGAATATATAAAGTTTGAAAGGCAATGCCACCTGCAACTGTTCATCATGAGTGGTCAATATTCAGCGGTTCAGTGAAGCCTCACACAAATCATGACCCGCTGGCTGTGAACTGCTGGACTGTCACGTGCTGAAACGAAACAAAGATGCTTCACCCCACTTCCTGCTTCCCTTCGGGTGATTTGGGGTCAGCGCCACAAGTCGAACGAACAACAATCACAGACTTTCACTGGACCTCCCAACAACGTGGAATCTGTAGATTCGCCTCGAACTTCCAGAGTACCAGCAGATACTCAGTTGTCCCGGAGCGCCCCAGTTCACGCAAATACCTCCGAAACTCTCCCAATCTCTGCGTTATGTTCCGGAACACCCTGGAACCCGCCGGATGACCACCGGAATACCAACGAATTATAGGTCACCCCGACTCGACGCGACGCGTTCATTCCCCCCTTCGCTCACTTACCTTCTGTCAAATTACCTATGGCTGAAGAACCCTAAGCGATCGCTTTGGGGAATGAAAGTCCGCAAAAAATATTTGGGGCAAATGAGAAACGCCAACGCCACGCCTGCTTCAACTTGGCGGCGGCCTTCGCCTGTCAACTTGGCCAAGGCATGCAAAACTAGCAGCAGACCCCCCTTGGTTGCTTCGGTGGCTCAGGCGAACTGTCCTGTGGATGCACCGCGTTTTCCTCCCTCCCTACAAAAATTTCGGAAAACCCTCGCTCTGAAGACTGTTTGGCCAGGGAAAAGAGGCAGGCCTTGATGAGGAAACAAGCAAAAAATTACTTCGCTTCGACACAGTCCCCCCCTCCACACGCGTGCTTACGACCGTTACAACAAATTCCTGCGCGTCCTAGAGACTTCGACTCCAAATTCCCATCGGCCCTTTTGGACATAAAGCAAAACCAGACTGGCGGGCTGGATGCTGGCGGGATCCACTGGCGAATATTGGCGAGCCACTCGGGCGCGATACTGGCTGGATACTTGGCAGGATCCACCGGCAAGGGATACTCAGCGGGATCTGGCGAGCTGCTCTGGTGGGATACTCGGCGCGATCCACTGGCGAGCCACTCTGGGACACTCAGCGGGATACTCGGCGGGATCCACTGGCGAGCTGCTCTGGTGGGATACTCGGCAGGATCCACTGGCTGGCGGGATACTGGGCGGGATACTCGGCGGGATCCACTGGCGAGCCGCTCTGGCAGGATACTCGGACAAGTTTTTTGCTCGCTAAGTTTTTTGCTCGGAAGTGTTGCGCAGACGGGTCTGAAGAGTCCCTCAAAAACTAGAGGACGATTGGCCCGAAAGCATTTTTCCCCAGGTGCTCATCCAGCCGCGGAGACACCTTTTTACATCGCTGCGGCGAGCGTGTCTGCACGCGGCGATGCTCAATGTGTATGGTCACGTGAGAGCTCCATCTCATCGTCCTACGAGAGGAAACATGGCAGTGCTCGATCCCACATATTTACATCCGTTAAAACAAGAAGAGTAAAGCTCGTAAAGCTCGAAACGAATTACAAGCAAAAGGAAAAGCAATCAATAGCAAAGCTTACACGACGGCCACAGTTTCTGCAAAGCACGCTCGCGCAACTTAGCTCTGTGCAAGATGGCTCTGCGCAGCTTGGCTCTGTGAGTTGGCTGTACGCAAGCCACTTTTCGCGAGTGGCTCTGCGCAACTGGCTCTGTGCAAGTTGGCTCTGCACGAGTCTGCTCGGCGCAATGTGCTTTGCACGAACTGCGCCGTGCGATTTCTCACGAGAGCGGTCTGCGCAAGCTCCATTGTTCCAGGCTGCTGCGCGCGAGTTGCTCTCTGCAAGCTGCTGCACGCAAGTGCTCTGTGCAAGTTGCTCTGCGCAAGTGCTCTCAGCAAGTTGCTCTGCGCAAGTGCTCTGCGCCAGTTGCTCCGTGCAAGCGCTTTGCGCATGTGCTCTGTGCAAGTGCTCTGTGCAAGTTGCTCTGCGCAAGTGCTTTGTGCAAGTGCTCTGTGCAAGTGCTCTGTGCAAGCTGCCCTGCGCAAGTTGCTCTGCGCAAGTGACTCTGCGCAAGTTGCTCAGCACTTGGAGCTGTGGGAATGTACTTCGCGTACTATTTTTGCACTTAAAAGTTGCGATTTTCCAGCCGGAGCTGCGGGAGTGTGCTCCGCGTACTACGTTTGTACTTAAAAGTTGCGATTTTCCAGCCGGAGCTGCAGGAGCACGCTCCGCGTACTCTCAAAAGCTGCGATTTTGAAGCCGGAGCTGCCGCGGACCAGGGGGGAATCGAACCCGCGACCGCGGGATTGCGAAAGCAGGCGCGCAAACCACAAGACAACTTCGAAAGGCCATTTCGCGAGCAACAAAAAAGCACGGCGCCACAGCGAGAGCGCTTCGACACGCACGATCTCCGCAGAGGGTTCGCCGAGACTAAGAAGAATTCGCACGGCGCCACAGCGAAAGCGAGGGTCGCGCGGGCACCGCAAAAAAAAGCAAAAACCTTGAGTTTTTGCACCTCGAACACGCCGATCTCCACCTCGACCACGCCGATCTCCGCAGAGGGTCGCGCGGGCATATCAAAAAACACAAAAAACCTCGAGTTTTTGCACCTCGACCACGCTGATCTCCACAGAGGGTCGCGCGAGCGTATCAAAAAACGCAAAAAACCTCGAGTTTTTGCACCTCGACCACGCCGATCCCCGCAGAGGGTCGCGCGGGCACCGCCAAAAACGCAAAAAAAAACCACAAGTTTTTGCACCTCGACCACGCCGATCTCCGCAGAGGGTCGCGCGGGCATATCAAAAAACGCAAAAAGCCTCGAGTTTTTGCACCTCGACCACGCCGATCCCCGCAGAGGGTGGCATTCCCGATCGTCGGCAACATCCCCACCCCCCGCCTTAAAAGAGATTCTTAATACCGAGCTCTTTCTCTTTCTTTCCCGCGCGTTAAGTACTTAACCTAACTTACTTAACCTAGCTTACATAGCTGCTACCGCCGAGCCTCTACACCTAGCTTAGCTTAGCTCTATGCACCTAGCTCTATGCACTTGGCTCTATGCACCTGGCTCGATGCACTTCGCTCTTTGCACTTGGCTCTGTGCACTTAGCTCTGTGCACTTGGCTCCTTGCACCTCGCTCTTTGCACTTTGCTCTGAGCACTTGGCTCTACGCGCTTGGCTCGTTGCACTTGGCTCTGTGCAAGTAACTCTATTCTGGTGACTCCATGCTGGTGACTCTGTGCAAGTATCTCCATGCTGGCATCTCCATGCTGGTGGCTCTGTGCAAGTATCTCCATGCTGGCATCTCCATGCTGGTGACTCTGTGCAAGTATCTCCATGTTGGTAACTCTGTGCAAGCACTCTGTGCTAGTAACTCTGCGCGAGTATCTCCATGCTGGTATATCCATGCTGGTGACTCTGTGCAAGCTACTCTGCGCAAGTTGACCAAGAGCTCCTGATATCTCCATGCTGGTGACTCTGTGCAAGCTACTCTGCGCAAGTTGACCAAGAGCTCCGCACGGAAGAACCCTTCGCAATGCTTTCGGGAAAAATATCTAGCAGTTAGTAACTGGCAGCTCTGGCGGGATACTGGGCGGGATCCACTGGCGAGCAGCTCTGGCGGGATACTCGGCATACTCGGCGGGATCCACTGGCGAGCAGCTCTGGCGGGATACTGGGTGGGGGCGTGGTGTAGAAGCATCGCAAACGCGGATTCCAACATAAAATCTAACAACCCCTTCCTGTCGGGTGGGGAAAAATGTGGATGTCCTTCTGGTTTCCTCGAAACGGGGGGTTCCCCGAGTTGAATGAACCGGTTGGGGTGCGTCTTGAGATCTGCCAAGCCCAGAGCCCTCGGGGCCCCACCTTCTTCAGGACCTCCTTTGCCTGAGTACGGATCTGAGCGGCCGCAAGGAAGGAAGAAATGAGGCGGTTCTTCTGCGCTGCCAAAAATGGCCGAACTCATTTGGGGCGTTCTCTGGGCTGCTGGAAATGTCTCGGCGGTGCTCGAAGAAGAGCAGGAAACATTTGCTTGCCAAAACTCCTTGGATCACTCCCACTTGCTTGCTTCCTCTTGGTGAATGTTGCGTTTTACCACGCTGGTGTAGCAATTCTTCCGTTTCGCCCAACTCGCGGACCGCAAGCAACAGCGCGACCAAGCTCCGCCTTCGCTACTTGTCGCGTTGATCACACAAGCACAGCGGTGCTGGCAGATTAGAGGGATGTACTCCCCCAAACTCATATCAAAATCAACCAGGGCCTTGGTTCCCAATAACCCCGCCAAGGTTGGACGTTGCTTCTTTGGGTGTCTGACTCTGTCCCCCGAAAAGACGCGGCGCCCTTGGTTGCAATACGCGAGATAGCAAAGCGGAAAAAATGCCACGCAGTTTTGTGGTTGGCTTTTATGGAACTCAAGTTGTTGTTAAAACCCGTAGAGTTTTGCGCTAATTTTGTTGGGAAGCACACCAAGGCGAACCAATGATTCATGTTAAAAAAAGGCCACGTCGCTACCGTCGCCGTCATCTTGCTTCTTGGCCCCGGCCCAGGACTATTGCCGCGAACCGGACCCATAGGAAATGTACCCATCTGTCTCAAAATAGGGGACCCAAAGAATGGGTGGGCTTTCCCTGAGGCGTCCCAAAATAAGGACACCAACTCAACAAAACCACATTAACATATATATCTATATATGGATATGATCCAGGTCTGTAGGGCGAAGGCCCCCCCCTTCCCCGGTCCTCCCGCGCTGTTTTTGGAGGTGGAGTTGGTTCTACTGATTGATAGTATCTATATACCAAAAATTATAGTTTTCGGAGGTACCTGGTCTGCCAGCTCCCCCTTCGCTGAGGCCACGGGCCTTTTGCACCTACCAACTTCGCACGAGAGTGCTTAGCCCTGATGAAGTGTGGGGATTGCCCGGCTGCGCTCGCTCCACCCGTGGGTTCAAAAAGATTGGGCCGCCTTTTCATCTTACCACTTGGTGGTTTGGATCTCGGGGGGAAACCACCAATCCATCAAGCAAGGGTGGCCTGACCTTTTAAGCGGCACACCATGACACCGTCAAAAAGAGTTCCATATTGAGTCCTTTTTTGTTTCCAAATCATGAATCCATCTGGATTCTAGACAAAATGCTGCCCAAAACGACACCTAATACCCCCAGAAAAAGTTGATGGCATGATTCCCTGCACGTCAGAAAGTAAAGGGGACAATCAATCATGCAGGATGCAACCCCCTGTAACTTGACCCTAATCTGGGGTGTCCCCTGAGTCGGCAGTGAAGACGTATGATTCAACTGGGCTCCTGTGAGCCATTCTTCCACTCCTTCCCCAAGGTCCCCAAGAGGGTTTTCATGTTAGAGAGAATGGAACCCCAAGGTCTGGCTTCCTTTGGGTTTCCCTCAAAGGGTAAAAAAAAAACGCGACCTTGAAGCTCCGGTTTTGTCGGAAACCTCAAACCGGAAACCCTTCTCGCAAACAAGCGGGGGGTGCACCCAGTTTCGGTTTCCCCCTTGAAGCATGGTTTCTTCAACCAGCGCGCAGCAAGATTTGGGAAGGCCAACTGGAGCCTTCGGCCTCACTCATAGTCAATTGGCGGTGGCAAGTCTCAAGACCGCCTCTGCCTCGGCCTTTGCGACCTGCCACGGCGATGAGCACGTTGACAAAAACAGTGACGCGTCTCAAAGGCGACACCACAAGCCCAGGTTGCCCAACAAGGATCTCTTCCGGGTTTGGAGCAAGAAATTTTAGACGTGTCCTCCATGAGCGATTTCAATTCACTGCGAAAATGGGAACCCGTGTTTGCGGGCCAAATGGGATTTGCTCAAGGCCGCAAATGGTGGGACCTCTTTTTGGATAGCATTGAAGGCAATCTGTAACCCATCCAGTGGGAGTACGTCCCTATTTCAGGACGCACCCATTTGGAGTCAGAGCTAACACGTTGAACCCGAGAGCGATGTCCAACTGAGCTCCTAAACTCGTTTCTTCCAGCTCAAGCACCACAACGGATGTCCCATTCGGAGCCGACGGCAAAAACCTCCATGAGGCGGAGAAATATGATCCATTTTGGTGGACCCTTCAAAAAATCAAGCAGTACTTCTCTTGACACTTCTTGTTTAAGGGAAAGGAAAAACTCATTTGTGTGGTGTCAAAGGAAAACCAGCAGGAAAGCCACATAACTCCGCGTGGAACGTGGCTCCGTCGTTCTTCGATTCACCGGTTCAAGTAGGGCTCCCTCCCGTGCCTTCGTGGGCGCGCCCTTCTTTACCTGCCACGACTGAAACTGGGCCTGAGGCTTCCTCCGAATTTGCATGGCTCCGCCATTCTTGAGACCAACTCAGCGGAAGGTAGGGCTACAGCAGCAACAGCGAATAAAGTCCTTGGCTGGGAAAGGTGAAGGAGAGGATGCAACAGAGCAGCACTCCTCGTTTGACCAGAAGTGACTGAAGCAACTGACAAAGCGATTTACTTGCCCATTCAACTGGGGTTGGGCCTTACCGATGCTTGTGGAAAACTGGGGCCTCAAGAAATGTGCTAAGCATAGGAATCCCAGCAGATTGTCGATCGCAGATTTGGAGGAATTGAAGCCCCATGCGTGCCCCGGCGGGACCCGTACTGAAACCACAATTCGACTCGTTCTCGCAGGCATGCACAATTTGGCTGGCCCCTACTGATAGTAGACCACCGGTATGGTTGTCGCTTGCTCGCGTCCTGTGGCCCCTACTTCAACGGAAGGGCGCGGGAGGACGCCCCAACTCCATTCATCCAGTCTGCCCACACAGGGGAAGTGAAAACCATGATCGAACTTGACGGGTCACCTTTTTTCTCCAACTGCTCTTTTCAGCCGCCCACTCGAGGTGCCCACCAAGAGACTCACAAGCTTGGCCCATCAACAAAAGTCAGGGAAGCGCAAAGAAGTTTTCGAGTATATGTGTCACGATCCAAACTGCTTTTGTAGTTCGTCGCTGTGCTTCCCTTAAAGGGAATCCTCATCATGGCTGTCTGCAATCCCTGTTAAGGGGTCCATGACAATCCTACCAATCCCGGGCGGGATTTTTTACCCTGGTTGATAAGGGATCCGAATCACTTTTTCATACATGGATATGTTGGAAATGTCGACACTTTGGGCGTGGGCGTGCGGGTTCGTGCGAGTGCGGTTTCGTGTGTGCGTGCGCGTGCGGGTGCGGGTGCGTGCGTACGTGCTTGCGTGCGTGCTTGCGTGCGGGCGAGCGGGCGGGCGGGCGTGGGTGGGTTGGTGTGTGTGGGTGTGTGTGTGTGTGTGTCAAAAGCAAGGTCCCTTTGCAATGGTTGTGTAATGCTTGTCCCTCTCTTCAGATTGTTGCAATAGGCATCCCTAGTGCTGTGTGGAAACGAAGCAAAGGAGCGCGGCCACATAACTACCCCTTCCCTTTCTCCTATAAAACACTTTGCCAGTTGTGGGGGTCCATTGACGAATCGCCTACCAATTTCCACACAGCAAAATCTGGGTGGAAAGACAGGTTACCCCGTAACAATTATCCAGGACCCCCCCATCCATGATCAGTAGAGCAGTAAGCCTTATCAGGGCCACCAAAGAAGGCTTACTCAAGCTTTGACAACTACTAGGGTTCTTTGCGAGGCCCCTGAAATCTTGGAAGTAGACGGAGGACAGTTTGTAACTGATGGAGAGGATAATACAACCTTGCTGGGCGCTTGATTAATCCAGGGTTCCCTTTCAGAAAGTGGTCATCAGCATACCTTAAACAAGGGCTCCTGCGAATAAACGTAGGAAAGAATCGGTTGAGTTCTGACATCAGACGGTAGCCGATTACCAGCGTGCAAAGGAGAGCCGCTGAACCGGATGACCAGCCGTCGTGATGAAAGAATGTCTGCCTGTTGAAGACAATTGTAACTTGCCTCATGGTATCCCCTTTCATCTTGAAACGACGCGAACCTGTCAGCATGCAACCCGACGGGAGCCCCCAGCCCCGCCTTGTCAGCCGCTTTCGACTTCGACTTCTTGGTTGCCTAGAAATGGTTTCTGGGATCCCGTCATGGCTTTCTGGGATCCTCCAGAAGAAAGGATCCCCTTTGAACTATTCTTTCTGAAGGAAATGCAAAAGGAAGTCAGCCATTGACGGGGCTGGTTCAAGTCCTGCTGAGCCACGGTGATATTGACCATCGGTGAAGTCAAGCGCAGGGACTCCCGATGAGAAGCCATGTTTACAGCAAACAACCAGTCAAGCATAGTGACATCTAGAAAATAGAAGGGCTTCGCCTTTTTGTCGAGCACAGCACCCCCTAACCCCCTGCTGTTCTGTCTTTTTGCGGAGGGCGGGAACCCTGGAAAAGCGGTTCCAAACAACAAAGAAAGAGTCTTCAGTACGGAAGGCTTGCCAAATTGAGCCCT